GTTGTTAAATGCTGTAATACGATCCTGAACAAAATCTGAACTCCGATCAAAACTTGAACAAAGGTTCTCTGTGATCCACATCTTGATCCAATCTATTTTTTAAACTCATTTTAATTTGTCAAAATTTTGTGTAAACACACAATTTCAGAAAACAGCACAGTGTTTTTACTCTTTGCGATGATATTTTAATATTAAAAACTACAAGCGATAAAACAAAAACAAATTTTGTCGGATATATATATATATTTTGAATAGCTCGCTTCTTCGTTTGCGCGTTCAAATTTGACAATTTCAACGCTCATCGGCGCAATGAATCGGCGTCGTGAATGTAGATATATTAAACCCTCGGAAAACACGAGTGAAAATCAGCTTAATAGAATTTAATGTCATCAACCCCGCTTCAGCGTGGAACTTATGTGGGACGCGTGCAGAGAGTAATTAAATATTCCGCCGCAGTTGCAGTGCTGCGAGAGTAACGATTTTTCGCGCGGGTACGCCAAACGCGGCCCTTGTTGTAATACGATTGTAATTGCATAAGATAATGTTACATCGCACGGAGAGAGTTTTGTTTTTCAGAGAAAATTCAAATCTATATACACGCACATACGCACGTAGAAGAGTGAGAGAGAGAGAAAGAGAGAGAGAGCGCGCACGCGCAAGCATGTTTTTTCAAGATAACAATTATATAAAATAGAATCACTGTTATCCCTCTCTCAGGCGCAAAACTGGCGAATGCAATTTCGCAGAATCTATAACGAAGCTATCCCGAAGGAGGAATTTCATAAAAGCGTAATTTGTTCAATTTACCGACTGGAGAATTCCGCGCGTGAGAAGCACCGGCAAAAGGCGCGAAATAATAAAACGCACATTTTTCCCCGGATTCCATAACGCATGAAACGCTATGCATAATGTCCGCGTTTTGCGAATTGCGCTTGGAAAATAGGTATGGGCGATTTTTTAATAATAATGCGCGCAGCGCCGCGCTCTGGTTACTTATTTATGTTGTTTTTTTTTTTCTCTCCTCGCGCAATTTAAAAATGGCGCGACGGCCGAAATGAAATTTTGTAAAAAATAATAACGGCGCTCGGCGTAAACGCAACGCGGTTTTTTGTTTTCGAAAAATTTTAAAACCCAAGCCCCAGTTTAGGATCTCGCGACACGTGTGTCGCGCTTTCCGTCTTCGTATATTCTTAACGTATATCGAATTACGTTGCGTTTGTGAAAATAAAGTTTCGTTTTACACGGACGGATATTAAAATCTAGCTATTCAGCCATTTCGTATGAGACGAGAAATACGCCGCTTTCTCGACATTTTTGCTCTACCACCGATCGCCGAAAGTTGTGCGTAACGTTCTCCAAAAGACGAGAGAGAGAGAGAGAGAGAGAGCGCGGAATTGCAGAAAGCAAAAAGAAAGAAGATACACACACGCGCGAACACACACACACGCGCAAGTCTTTTATAGTTCCCCGATTTTCGCAGTCACTGACGTTCCCGGGATTTCGCCATTCCGCCGCACGAAAAGCGGCATCGATTTCTTGGATTTGAATGCTCGAGAGTCCGGGCACGAATTTCTCGCGTCACACCCTGTCGGCTTCCCGACCCTTGTCTCGAGTCCTCTTTCGAGAGGACCCTCACGCTCCGTGCCCACGCTAAGAGATCTCATTTTCTCCCCGCACACGCTTCTCTCCCCCCCCCCCATTTCTTTTTTTATTTTACCGCGGAAAAATCTCGGCGTTATATATCGAGCAATTCGCGCTCGAGCGAATCCCAATGTCACGCCGGGATGTCACCGGTGCGCTTTATGATTAATACTTGTCTCTTGGGGTCAATAGACAAGAGAACGTCACAACAACAAGTATTCTTCTTAGATTTCTGTTGGAGAACAAATTTGCGTACGTACGTCTTCGACTATCGAAGATACGGAAGTGTCCGATCTCTTCGTTACACATTTTCAAAAATCATCGGAAGCGAAATGTAAAATCGGAAGAAATTCGAAAGCGTTTTTTTTCAACGTTTGTGTATTTTTCCTTCGAGGTTTCGATAATAAATATTTCGCGAGAGATCGACGACGATTTTCTTCAATTTTTCAACTTTATCTCGCGATTCTGAGATTTTCCTCTTTCGAATAAAGAATCTTTCGAATAAAGAGCGAAAAACTTTTTCGACCGAAAACCGAAATGAACATTTACATTATTCTCAAAGTCGGTACTCCGGAATCGGAAAATGCGTGCTTGTGATTTCAACGACGTCGTCAAGCTGTTACGGGAGCGTGATGTCTCAGAGAGAAAGTTGCATTCTCGCGTCGCGCAAACGAGAAGAGAAGACGCGCGCGCGGCGCGCGGATTTCCGCTCGACGGCTTTGCGGCCGGAGGCGGCCAATTTCCACCTTCCTCGCGCGGGGGGTGGTGGTTCCGCGACGCTCCTCGCGTTGACTTTGCAAATATTTAACCAGTCCCCCGTCCTCTTCCTCAGCCTCGTCCTTAGCCACTTCTCCGTCCAATTATTCCTCGTATATCCGCCCGAGCGGGGAAGACGCGCCCTTGATTTTTCGCCGCTAAAGAGGCGCGTCCCGGAAAATTGTAATTCCTCTCGGTAAAAAAAAAAAAAAAAAAAAACTAGTCGAAACGATGCGTACGTAAAAACTGAACGTGCGAACACACACAAAGTTAAATGTAGACACCGCATTAAAACGAGACGCCGTATGGCGACACAATACACGACGTTATATACACCGAAAAAATTATATTCTTGTAAGCAGAAGATTTTATACTTAAAAAATCTTCTTCAAGATTTTAGATGATATTCTTCTGAAATTAAGAATATATTCTTAATATTAATTATAATATAGAATAATATAGAAATTATAATATAGAATATTATATATAATATAGATTCTACACACAGAAAAACATATTGTATCCAAGTATATAATAAGTTTATATATCCGCAAATATATTATAAGATTTTTGTAAGTATTTAATTTACTCAAAATACATTCTAAATCTTAGTAAATTTGTATTTTGAGTAAATTAAATACTTACGAAAATCTTATAATATATTTGCGGATATATAAACTTATTATATACTTGATACAGTATGCATTTTTCTGTGTGTATATATAATATAGAATATTATAATATAGAATATATTCTATATTTTTTTTTTATATTCTTAATTTAATTTATTTTCTTTATTTAACAATATATTATTAATTTAAAAATATAGTCTTTTTTGATAGTGAGATATATATGTTTTTCCATAGAGGCTTTTTATATTCCAATCAGTATATATTCTTATCAACATTACTATTTATAGAAGGATTTTCCTCTTAAAATAAGAAACTCTTCTTGGCGCCTATTTTAGTATAAAATATACTTAAAGTAAGTGGGATATCCTCAAAACAAGAATACAATTTTTTCGGTGTATTTACCGAGAAAATGATGTGAAATATCGCATTATCGAATTTCGATCTCGATGATTTTCTGGAAAACGCCGAATATATAATGCGCAGCGAGATCATTCGCGCGGCTTCGGAGCGCGAGGAAAAGAGTTTGTTAACGAGCGTAACTACGCGGTAAAGCGCGAAAGCAATGTTGAATGCGGAAACGAAGCGAAATTTCGCGAGAAGAAACTCTTTGCGCAGCTGCGCCCAGAGTTTTACCGGAAATTCTCGTTAAAAAGTTCCTTTATTTCGCCCCCTCCCCCCCCCCCCCCGTGCTCCTGCAAATTTTCCGATGCCCAATCCTGGGCATTCCTTGCTTTGCGAAAACCTGGCAAAATTGCGCGATTTATGCGCTCAGGCAAAACTTGTCAAATAAATCCCGCTAATTAATTGTGTCGTTATTTATCGACTGACATTTACATTCTGCGTTATTGATTTAGTAATCATCAATTTGTCGAGAGAGAGAGAGAGTTGCACAAACGTGTCTGACTGACAAACCCGTTGGCCCGTGCATTTTTTATAGTTAATTAATTCGACGAGTCCCGACGAGGATCGAGCCGTGGTGCAAAATTAATAAGATATTTTCATTTGTGCGGAATATTTGCAATATTATATTATGTATCAATTGGTTTTTAAAATAATCGTAAAACATAAGCGCGCGCGCGTGTGCGTGCGCGTTTTGTAAAACCGACACCGATAATCAATTATAACGATGATATTTGTCTCTCTTGAAAATAAAATAATGACACATCTCCTCATTAATGCAATAAATAATATCTTTTTACATGATTGTTGAAATAACGAAACGCGATAAACTGACGGGATTGCTGTAAATAGATTGCACAAAATGGCTACCAGCGGTACACATGTGTAGTTCGACACGAGATTCCAAAAAAAAAAAAAAAAAAAAAACCAATTATCACTAGGTGCGCACCTATAGTGCGTAACGATAATAAATAAAATAGAAAAATGTAAAAAATGATAGTAACAGAAATTACGAAAGAGACAGAAAAATAGAAAGCGTACTATCTCCGTTGAATGAAAAGAAAACAAGTTTTTCAAGTGAGAGATAAGGAAATAAAGGGACTATAAAAACGCAATTTCCTTGTTGTAAGGGATACAGTAGCGTTTCTGTTCTGACAGATTGCTATTGTAGCTAAAACGTACACTTGCAAGACACACCGTCACCGTTTCTTGACGCAACACAATAGATGTTTTTCACGTTTCTTTACGTAAGTAATTCCTTTCATTCGATAGAATCGATCAAAAAAAACTCGTATATATAAATAGAAATAATTTGTTTGTTTTGTTTTGTTTTTTTTTTAAACAGATAAGACGACGACGTCACGCCGCGACGAATCTCGGATTCAAACCAGCAACTTTCGCTGGTTCAGGGGTGAAGAGAATCGATCCCTTCTGCCGTATCGACCACACCGGGACGCATTTCCGCCCATGTCCCGTGCCGAGTCCTCGCGGGGAGGTTTGCGCGGCGCATGCGCAGCCAGTGGCGGACGTTGTCGTCTGACGCCAGTCTGTCGGGGGTCGAAGTGTCGGCTACATCGGAACATTGGGTCGGGTTGGTTTTCCCCGTAACATCGCGGCGTTCCAGCAACGCTTTACTCTCTTCACCCTTCCTTGCTGGTTAATATTGTGTGTTTCACCCCTGACCTCATGTCACGCAAGATTCGTCGCGAATACATCGACCAGAATCGGCATCACCTGGGTGCAGTGTTAGGAGGGTGGTAGTTTGCGACCTGGGGGTGCAAGCTTGTCAAGGAAGAAACGGCAAGGGTGGTCGCGCGCTCCGCTTTTGCGGCTCCGCGATCCTTCCACCGCAACCCCCTTTTCTCTCTCTCTCTCTCTCTTTCTATCCCTCTTTCTCTCTCTCTCGGATTTTTCAGTGCGTCGCTTTCGTTCGGTCTCTCGGTGGTGACTATGTCGATGGGTTTTACTTCCACCGAGCGGGAACATCGTCGCCGTCCCTCGTCTGGCGCGATTCAACGAAACTTGAAATTGCTTTGGCACGTCCGATAAATCGGCGTTATCGGGAAACGATTTTCTCCCGTTACGGAAAAGTTTGAAGAAACACGCCGGACCCGGGGGGGGGTGTCGTCAGAAGGATAACGAAAAAGGAAGTACAGACGGTGAATGATTCCCCGCTAAACTGTTATACGAACTTCTCTCACTAATGCCGTTCAATTTGCCGTGATGAAAAACAAAATCGAACGATACAAAATAGCGCGCGATCTTTCAAGTCCAGTGCTTGTGCCGATAATCGCCGATAAATCGTCATCGCCTTAAGTGATCAATTCAAGAAAGTGCAAATTTTTCGAGTGCGATCAGTGATGGAGCAAATCAACGGATAATTATCCCAATTTGCTTCTTGTCTGCAAGTGTTTTCCGGGAAAATCGCGGAAAATTAAGTGTTTAATCAACACAGTTTTAAACCCAAGTTCGAAACCCAATCGAAAGTTAAACTGTTGACGTTAGGGGAGACCGAGAATAGCGTTGTCATCGCCCGGAAAAGGGGGTGGTTGCATTGTTCGCCCCCCCGAGGAGATACCGAGATAAAGAAACTCTTCAATAAGTAATGGCGCAACGCATTTCTTGAACGCACAAGTGTGTGTGCCTTCCACAAATGCTTTTCATTTGTTTTGCCAGGGGGCAATAACGCGCGAGTGTTTGCGCGCGTTCTCTTCTTATTTTAAACGTTAAAACAAAAAAACGCTCGAAGAAACGATGTTGTTGTTGTTTTTTTTTTATTTCTTTCGATAAATAAATTAGAGGGAAAAAAAACTCGTTCGCTGAGGAATTGCGTTAAGGGAGAATGTTTCCCCATTTATTAACCGGATCGGAAGACCAAGTTCGATGAATCGTGAGATGAAAGCCGAGAGGGGATACGAATCTCTCGTCAATCTCGCATCCGTCCGATGCAATTTTAAGTGAAAGATTTTCGCAGTTTTCTTTTTTATTTTTATTTTTTTTTTCACACACACACGTAATCCTCCTCCGACATGTCAAAATGAAACGAGCGGGTAAACACCCGAAGAGCAGCTTTCTTCTGGCCGTGATTAGAGCCGGCGCGTTCTATCTCTTTCGTTACATTAAACATGCCATTAGAAACGAGATCGTCTTTGTGTGAGCGATAAGACGCACATAAATCTTTCGCGAATAAAACGCATACGCGAGAGAGGAGAGGAGAGAGAACGGAAAAGTCCAGAACGGAGATTGCTTTTGTGGAAAAATCTTCGTGAGAAAAAAAAAAAGAAAAAAAAAGAATTGCATTTCCATCCCTCTCGGAAATGTTTTAAATCCAAAACATTTATTAAATATCAACCCAATGGGAAACTATAAGCGAAGTTGTCCTCTTGTGACGCAATGTAACGAGAATAAATAAACTCGCTAAATTGTTGTTCCGCAACCGGTATTGAATGACAAAACAACTTTATGTACGTATTTGACAGTCTTTTTTACACGTAGACACAATTTTCGACGGTAGTTAAGTAAGAGAGTGGAGAGATCGAAATCTTGAACGATCGACAATCGCGATTCAAGAAACGCAACAAGGAACTTTTTGTAAGAATTTTCGAGTTTTCAACAATCGCGCGTGATAACGTCTGAACTTTTTATCAACGACTCCCCAATAATCTCCCCATAAGTGCGTGACCAAAAAGGGTATATTCCACGGGATACCCGTTCGCAAGAGTCGTTTTGGGGTTTTCGATTTTTGAGATCGAGAATCAAACTCAGGATCTTTTTCCACCTCGTTAAGTTGGCGTCTTCCTCCAAATCGATTGCGCGAAAAAGCAGACAATCGGGGACAATTGACAGTTTTCTATTTTTTATGGATTGTTTGGAAACGTAAAAAACAAAAAAAAAAAAGAGAGATACGCAGTTCGAGACTCCGCACCTCGAGAGATCTCATCCCATGTTGGAGAAATCGTGAACCAGGCGCTTCGTCCCGTCGCGGCGGATCTCGCTCTTCACGGATCATTTGTCGGATCACAGCGCAATATCAAATTAAAGACAATAGACTCTCTCATCTCCGACGCTTGAAAAAAATTATCAAAAAAGATCGGGAAGATCGGGATTGCGCGGATACGAGCGTTAAAAAAACCGGAGCGCGTTTGACTTTGAAGAGTCATTTCGAAAGAGATAGCAATCGACACACGTCAACCTTCCGATCGAAAAAAAAAAAAACCTCCTCCTTCGCGACGCATGGTTCAGACCGAATCGTAACCTCGTCATCGAAGCCCCTGCCGAAGATTGATGCATCTGGGAAGTGCACAGGTCTCCGAGTGTCGCGGGATGAACCACCTCGCGTACATCCGTACTTTCGGCGGTGGTTAAAGGATATATTATTTCCTCACGTGGTGACGAACGTTAGCGGAGGGCGGTATGAGACCCGGCACCGGCGCGACGAGGAGGAAGTGATCGGCGGTGGTGACGGTCGTCGGTGATCGCGGTCATGATGACGTCGTCGATCCTGGCGTTGCTCGGCTTGATCCTGGCGACCGCCGGCGCCCAGCTGAGCTCGAGAATCGTTCGGACTAAATACGGCGAGCTGTCAGGCGTGATCGTTACCCTCGATCGATACCTCGAAGGCGTGGAAGTGTTCCGCGGTGTGCCATACGCCTCGCCGCCGATCGGCTCGTTACGTTTTATGCCGCCCGTGAGCGGCGCCCTTTGGCACGGCGTGAAGGTCGCCGACAAGTTCGGTCCGGTGTGTCCCCAGAAGCTTCCCGAGCTAAGCAACAAGATGCCCAAGGGTAGGATAGAGTACCTCAAGAGACTGCTGCCCTATCTCAAGAACCAAAGCGAGGACTGCCTGTACCTCAACATTTACGCACCGGTTCAAGGTAAGGATCTTTCTCTCTTTTTCGCTTTTTTTTTTTTTTTTTTTTAACGAGATAAGGGATTTTGCGAAAAGAAAGTTGTAGCTTAGCGGGGTTGTAAATGCGAAAAAAAATGACAAAGTGTGTTGGGGGAAGTATGAAAGCAACACTTTCAAAGATATTAATTAAGGGATCTCAATACTCTCGATCGCAATAAAATTTTATGTTCCAAAACTTTTTAATATTGCGAAATTTATGAGATTTTTGTAGAGTCTTTAAATGATATAGATTTTGTTAGAAGTTGATGTGTTTTAATATTCTCCCCGTCGATGTAAGTTTTTTTTTTTTTTTTTTTGGACGGATATTGCTCTGTTCATTACATCGTGTGCGCGCGATGAAGCTACGCTTCGTAAAAAAAAAAAAAATAAAAAAAAGGGAGATCGGACAAAACGCTCCATATATTTATCCACTTTGCCACATTAGTGCGTTTTAATAACGCGCGTTTAAACGGCAATCAATTTGTAGATTAAATTTCAGTTTGGACGGAACGAATTATTAAATGCGGGTAGATCTGAGGAATAAAGTTCTATTATCAGCAAACACACAATTTTCCGCGGAAAAGGATTCGATAAACGCACCGAGTCCCAGCACCGTGAACATGTAATCTCACATCAGGGGAGAGAAGCTGCGTCACATCAGTTTATATCCCCAGATATCCAATTTACTTGTACAAACCGAGTTGCCAACGCGCAATGTAACGCAATGTGTCTCTTTTTATTTTGTTTGTACACACTTGTATAATCAACGCAATAGTTTAACGTTGAAGCGTTTGATATTGAGTCAAGTTTCAGCGCGCCGACCCCATTTTACATCTCATTCGCTGCTACGGCAAACGCATCAGCTAAATGCGAGCTTCCCTCCAATTACAATATATGATGGACATCCATTTTGCGCCAAAGTGCCGCGTCCAAGCGAACTACGTTCGCGCTTTGTGACCATGAAAGCGGAGATATCACTGTTTCCGAGGGAATTTAACAATCTTCCTCTTCTGCGCACACAAATTAGCATAATCCGAGATGTACTTGTAATTTTAAACAACACACACACATACACACACATACATACATACTCAAGGGAATTATCTGTTTCCGTAGAAAGTATATTTACAGAAGTGTAAGCAATCACCGAAAAAATTATATTCTTGCAAGTAGAAGATTTTATACTTAAAAAATCTTCTTAAAGATTTTAGATGATATTCTTCTGAAATTAAGAATATA